AATTGTGTTGCTGGTCTGTTTTTGTATTGCCTTTATATATCAAACATACATTTTTGCTGAGCTAAACAACTTTTTTTTCCTGGAATGTTTGTATCTTTTCCATCTGTCATTTACTCAGTTTGGTACAAGCAGCACCGTATTAGTTGACTTTATATTATGAAGGCTTGGTGCATTTTGTTCAAGTTCCGTCAATTAATAAACGGGACTGATGTGCGTTGTAATGTAGTTTTCTTCCATCATTAGACCCATGCGCTCCCAGTCCCTGTCTGAATGGAGGTACATGCAGTGTCTCAGGATCCTTATTCTACTGCACCTGCCTGCCTAGCTACACTGGAAGTACTTGTGAAGCTTCAAGTAAGTTCACTAAGTAAACAGATAACAACTTCTGTCATCATCATCCGTTGCAGAAACCTTTTAACAAAATTGTAACTTTTGTTTGAAGTTATAATGACGTGGTTTGTTTAAGGCACATGAAAAAGGAATGTATTTTTTTAAACAGAGATTACAGGGAGGGTTGTTATATAAAAGGAATTTTTTTGAAATATACATGTATGCATATGCTTATTTGACTTTGTATCCACCGCAGCGCTTTAGCCTCATTAACTTAAAACTTTTGTGGTAGGCACAACACCACCATATTACTGCCCTTCCAGCTTCATTAGAGATCACCTTAATTAAAGAATAAACAATTTTGGCAGCTGAATTCAAACTCGTCACTCTTTATTTATCATCAGATCCATGTTATCCTAGTCCTTGCATGAATGGAGGTACATGCAGTGTTTCAGGATCCTCATTCAGCTGCACCTGTCTGTCTGTCTTGACTGGAATGACCTGTGAAACTTACAGTATGTTCACCTTATTCATGTAATTAGTTGCAGCATGTGTATATTTATCTACTAGGAAGTTTGTATGCGAGATTAGAGATCACCTTAATTAAAGAATAAACAATTTACGCCAGCTGAATTCAAACTCGTCACTCATCATCAGATCCATGTAATCCTGGTCCTTGCATGAATGGAGGTACATGCAGTGTTTCAGGATCCTCATTCAGCTGCACCTGCCTGTTTGTCTTCACTGGAATGACCTGTGAAACTTACGGTATGTTCACTTTATTCATGTAATTGGTTGCAGCATGTGTATATTTATCTACTAGAAAGTTTGTATGAAGTAAGATTTCCTGATTAAAATGTCATAGAGCCATTTGCTTTTTTCCGGGGGGAGGGCAGCAAAACGTATGCAGTTGGGGACGTACAATAAAATCTCAGTAACTTGAAGTCAGTTAAATCGAAACATCGTTTATCTTGTAGGCACCGGTGGCAGAATGGGGGGCTGGGGGTGCCATTGTTCCCCTCCATCTTTAAAAAAAAATTGGTTATTCCTCCCCCCAATTGATAGGCCTACCAGCCATTGGAGGTACATGTACACTGCAACTTCATAAGTTGTTTTCTTTTCAGTCTAATGGCTGGGACTTGCCCCACCCCAAAACTTTTAAACCGTTCTGTTGCTGTTGCTTGTAGGCCGACTACTTGCCAAGAGAATAGGCTTTTATGTAAATATTTAAAACCCTCTGTAACTGCCCACAACACTACATCAAGTTATCTTGAGGATTTTTTGGCACCGATAAAAAACCCCAAAAAACGCTAAATTGTTTCAGAAATGAAAAACACACTGTGAGAACTTAGTTTGAGTCATCACACTGGAACTGCTTGTGTTGCGTGCGTACTGCACACAGCATGGCACACACCCATTGCACTCACCACTGCAATCATGCAAACCCTGTTTTCAGGCTAGCCTGATTGCTACCGCAGACCCATTCACGGACAGTCCAAATCGCTGACTCTTTTCAATAACCATGTGACCATAGAAAGTGTTGTCATTAGACAACCCAAGTGAAAAAACCCTGAAATTCTGTGGCATGTCATGCTTAACGCGATCTGCGAAAAAACAAAAGATCTGCCACACGGAGGTACACCATTGAAGCGGTCAATTTTTATGTAAAAAGAAATTGGGATGTCTGTGCCACCCCATTGAAGAAATTTGATTTTATATAATGGTAGAAAGAAATCTTTAGGTTACAGTCTTAAAAAAAATTTTAGTGAAAAAAAGCAGGAAAATAATCACTAAAAAGTTGCCATAGCAGAGCAAGGAAAGTTAATGATTACGTATACATGTCATGTGTGTGTTCTCCAACTTCATGACTCAGGGAATTGTATTAATAACAACATCTAGGTAACTTGAATTTTTATTTATTCTCTGAGGTTTGAGTTATCAGTTGTAAACGGCAACCCATGAAACAAGACTGCGCCACCTACACGTGGTACGCATTGTCCGGCAGTGGCTTTTGTGATTGATTTTATCCTTCTAAGTTTGTCGTAAATGCCACCCGGTGTATAAGTCACAGAGACACATTTTTCTGCCTGAGAATCAATGTATAAGCCGCGGCTGTATGTTGTGTAAATTATGGTGTATAGGTTTTGACAGCAAACTCTTTGACTTCCAGCGTGTTCAATAACTCCCCCCTCTCTTTTTCAATACTCGGATAAGCTTGATAATTTAACACTCATGTGACGTTTCATGTTTACTGGCCAAAGGACTGGCCAAAGTAAGTGACTGCTGACCCAGTTACTTTGGGAAATATTCCACAATGCAGTGCTTAAACACAGTGGCTTGGTTTAACAATGCAAAGGAAAATTGATGCTGTTGTAAATAGTTGCATCAATCATTGCACAAAGAGGAAAATTTGCTCAAGTTATTTGACTTACGTGAAATTAAGGCCACATGCGTGTGGGTGTTTATGTCCTGTTACTAATTAGCTTAAATTCTGAAAATTTAAGTCTGCATGATGTTTTGACCCTGAGTAGGCATCTTGATTTCTAAAGTTGACTCTCATTGGCTTTGCATGCTCGCATATCACATGTTTTGGAGCCATGTTGTTTTGGAGCCATTAAACCATTGGTTTAATGAAGGATGACACTCAGACTCTGCATAGCCTTAATAATAAGAAAACTGACTAAATTGATTTCTTGGACTTAACTCTTGTTTTTCATCAGATCCGTGTCTGTCCAGCCCTTGCATGAATGGAGGTACATGCAGTTATCAAGGTTCCAGCCACAGTTGTGCCTGTCTGTATCCCTACACTGGAAATACCTGTGAAATTTTCAGTATGTTCACTTTGCGTAATTATGTATTATCATTAACAGACATGGCCTTTAACCACTGTGGAATTCTTTTGTGAACGTTTGAAACAAATTTCTATGGTTTTTTTGTTGAGTTTTATGAAGTGATAGTTTCTGGTGAATAGCCTTTAACAGAGATGCAACATGTCCTCCAGGATCTGCAATCTTTTCTATTGAAAACTAGATGTTTTTTTTACTGCTGTCTCGTCACTTTCTTGATGGATCCATGCATCATAAAGTCCCTTGTTATTCCAGTCCTTACATGAATGAAGATACAAGCCTTATTGGGATTCCTCATTCATTTGGAGCTGCCTTCCTCTCTAGATGTAAATGTGAAACATTCATTTTGTGTTCACGTTGTATTGTATAATACCAAGGTCTATTCAACCACTTGACTTTTTTCACTTTATGAAGAGCTATACAGAACAGCATTGTGCACTTAGTAAACTTATTATGCTAGGATTTTTTGCTTCCTACGGTAGCTGTGAATTGACTCCTCATCAAAACTTCCGCTGTTCCATGCATCACTTTGAGTGTAAGAAGAAAATCGCTCTACTTGAATCCTTACATTCCTTTCCATCCTCAGATCCTTGTCAATTCAGTCCTTGCATGAATGGAGGTACATGCTCTGTTCAACGTTCCTCATTCACCTGTACCTGCCTGTTTCTCTACACTGGGAGTACCTGTGACATTTTCGGTATGTTCACCTTTTATAAGTATCATAATACACATTAGCTTATTAATTTGAGGTGTGGCAGAAATGATAGGAGGGCGCTATTTGGTTTGGGAAAAATCTGTTGGGTTTACTAAATATGTACCCACTTTATATAGCACCTTCCTCTTGTGTCCACCATGCTTCAAAAAGGGTTAATGGTCCTCAACCTAAACAGAAATCATGAATGAACTTTAATGAAGTGAGAATTTTTGCTTAAAAATTTCGAACTAGCTATTCATGCCCAGTAAACTAAATATGCGGGGATTTTTAGCCTAAAAGTTAACCTGTGAATTGACTATTTCCTCCTTTACAACCAACTGTAATAGAACCCCCAAAGCAGCACCCTTCAACATTTCTCTCAACTTCCCTCTTGCAGTGTTCCAGACCTCTTTATTCAAAAACTTCAAATTCATCAAGTTAAGTATTGGTACTTGTACATTATAGTGCTTGATGCTGTTGATCCTTTGTGAACAGTTTCAGTTTCAAAAAATTCTGTAAAGTAACAAACAGTGACATCCAGCAAAAATTCAGCTGAGTGTTAATTCCCTGGAGATGCACTTAACTTGAAAAAATGTCAGAAAGTACCACATTAACATTTAAGGATTTTCTTGACAGTTCTTAAATTCTGATAAATCTGTATTACCTCCTGTCACATACCCAACTACATGTTTTAGAGAAAATTTGCTTCTTATTTTAGGCAGAGTTACAAGAGATTCTTTGAATTGAAAAAGAAATCAGACAAATAGTAGAGTTTTGCAGCGGTCATATAAACCCAACATACATGTATATTAATAGGAATGGGAACTTCATAAATTTCATAGCACATCACTTCGTGAGAAATTGGATGTAAAAAGCTTGCTCTAGCAAGACTAGGCAAAATATCAAAATACTCCGCATTACTGGCAAGGTCAGATTAGGGTATATCAACAAAACCTGGCTGCTTTCCTGTTACTGTTCTAAAGGCTCTGTGCATAGCACAACACTGGTAATGTAAAGAGAAAATCAGTTAACTTGAGTTCTTAATTCTTGTTTATCATCAGATCCGTGTCTTTCCAGTCCTTGTTTGAATGGCGGTACATGCTATGTTGAAGGTTCTGCATTCAGATGCACCTGCTCATCTGGTCTCGTTGGAAATACATGTACATTTTTAGGTATGTCCACTCTGTACACATTAACACATTAACATTTAACAACATCCACTTGGAATGCTGGTGTCTATTTTTGTACTAACTTAGACAGCAAGTTTGCCACATAAACCACGCAATAGTTGATTGGTGTTTTGACAGCTGAATTCATTATGCACAAGTTTGTGAAGTGGAATAACCACCCCAAAGTGACTTACCTAAGTTTTGTCTACCACCAGATCCGTGCCTTTCCAGTCCTTGTATGAATGGAGGTACATGCAGTGCTCAGGGAACCACATTCAACTGCACCTGCCTATCCAACTACACTGGAAATAACTGTGAAGCTTTTGGTGTGTTAATTTTCATTCATGCATAAACTTGTAGTGCAGTAGTCACGGACTTAAATTTGACATAAACTTGAAAGTCTGTAATAACCTTGACGGTCATCATGATGGGAAGGGTCTGAGGACTCTTGGTCTTTCCCCTTCCCACCAAAAAGGAAAGGTGAAAGACATTTTAAAAAATGAAGGAAAGAAAATTAGGAGAAAAAAGAATTGACTCCCTTCCATTCTTATTAGTTTTCACTTTGCTGTTGATGACGGCTTGTCCCATCCTAATGATACTCATCAGAGCAGAGCCTTTCAAACCAACCTATTTATTATGTTAGTCTCTCTGCAGCAGGATTTAACATTTTAAATCGAAATAGCGGGGCCATTTTGGTCCAGTTTCAAACCAAATGTTTTTTCAAAGCCATCCAAACTTACAGTGGCAGATGTATTCAGTTCTGAAAGTCTTGGAATGAAAGAAATCAGTAAATGTGTGATAGCATGTTACACATGTACACGGACTGAAAGCCAACTGCTTTCATGTGTGGAAGATAGCCAGAATACGGCTTCTTAGATCAGGCATATTTTGTGGTATTTTTGAGAAAAAAAGTTGAGGGTATTTGAAGTCTCTTGTACATGGTATCATGTCTTGTGTGAAAAGTTACAAATGTTTTACCGTTCAAAGTGCTTTATTTACATGCCTTGGAAGGATTACATGAGAATTAATCAGTAAATTTGTTTGGTTACAGTGTTTCAGATCATTTGTGAACCTGATGAGGTTACTGCTGTTGGGACTCCTGGTATGACAGTCTCAGTCGGAATTCCACAGCCATTTGCTTCGTCAGGTGCCTCTGGTGTACAGTTTACCTACATTGATCCACAAGGCATGGTCATTTCAACACCAAGTGACTATCAAGTGGCTGTTCCTCTGACTGATTCAACCACATTAAACATTCAAATCAATGCAACAGGATCTTTCAACATCGTACAACAGTCCTGCCGGATAAATGTCACAATTACTGGTAAATGGTCTACAGCTGTCTATTGGTTGTTTATTTCTTGGAACTTGGCTATAAGAAGTTCTTTAAAAGGATAAAGCAACACACAAACACTGGGTTCTAAAAGTGTGCGCATTTTCAGTTGAAGGCTGGTCGTGCAAAATATGCCGAATTCTTATTTGATAATTGGCTGCAGATTCAAATAGTACATGCACCCATGAGTGTCTTAGGAGAAAAATAAAAATTAAAAAACAAAAGAAGGGAAATGAAAAGTAAAAGAAAACAAAGGGGACAAAAAGTATTAACTTGCTTGAAAAGACCTCTAAAATGGCCCCTGTTTCTCCATTAATGGTTTATCAGTTTGTCAGTGATGAGTGCTTCCTCCCCCCCCCGTCTCCTTGTGGCCTCGTTTTGGGAAAAATCCTGCCAACCCCAATGCATATACCTGGGAAAGCCATTGGCTGATACATTTCCTTTACTTGGTGAGAGCTGTCTGTACGCCTGTGCTGAACCTAAGCTGATTTGGACAGTGCCTCATTGCTCTGAAGAAGTTTGCAACAGCACAAATATTAATCTTGACTGAATTATGTATACGTATTAGCCATGCAGCAGGTCTAAGATCTGGTCTCTCTTGCAGGTTTGCCATATATAAACCAGACGCCATCTGTAACATTGGAATCACGATTAGCTACTGTCACATGGCAGGCATGGAACACAAGCTCAGGGGACAGAGGAGCAGGGCCAGTGACTGCATACAAAGTATATTACTCTCTGACATCTCCAATATCCTGGATTGCTGCTGGTACCATTTTGGTGACAGACCCATCTCAGAGCACGTACAACTTCATAGTCCAACCATTGGAACCAAGCACTGAGTACATGTTTAGCGTGGCTGCAGTGGGAGAAGGAACAGGAGAAGGGGCAAGGAGTCCAGCATTTACTGGATTCACTCTACCACTCCCTTCAACTACCACTGAGAGGTCTACATCAAGAGAAACTACCGTGACCGAGCGTGAGTTATACATAAACATATAAAAGCAAACAAAAACAAATTGAGAAAAACTGTAATTTAGAAATGAGGTCACATTTCTTTGTATATCTGTTTGATTACAATCTTAACATCGTTTTGAGGCCCATAAAATATAATAACTCGGGTCAAATACTTCTAAACCACCTTTCAACGAGTTCTTTCTTACTACAGCTTTCAGAATAATACCTTAGGACAAAATGACTTAAGGATCGATATACATACATGTGCATCCACATTTTCAAGTGAGGATGTTTGGAATTAACTCTTTTTGCCCTAATTTGGTTGAGTTGAAAATGACATTGTTATTGTCACTGTCTCTTGTTGGACCAAAGGAGATCATCCCTTGGCGAGGTTCCTCATTGCAGCTATAGTGCTTTTGAAGTGGTTAGCTTTCTGTATGGTTTATTTTCACTCTCAACAACTGTGACATGCACTGTCTGCAGATGAGGGAGGGGACAAATGGGGGCATGACCCCCATCCCCCTCAAAAATTAACAACATTATTTTTTAATCTTTAAAGCATAGTTAGCAAAAGGTCATTAGGGGGCATAAGTTCACTTCCCTTCCTCCTAAAAGTGTGTAAAAAGCCCAAATGGTTACAAATAGAAATTTTCTAGTATTTTAGCCTCCAACAAATCAATTTTTTGGGGGGGTGTTTTTTGTGTTGTTCTTAAGCATACCCACAGTGTATTTTTTGGACAAAATTTTTACAATATGTTCTTTTAAATACTGCAAAGAAGCCAATTGTTGTCCTTTTTCTGATGCTAAGTTATTGCCTACGGTACAGGTCCCAGTGATCCCACTGCAGTGATAGCTGCTACCGTTTCTGTTGTTGCCGTCCTGTTGGTTGTCCTGTTATTTCTGGCTGTGCTGCTGGTTCCACGCCTTCGGTATGTGCAGTCTGAAATCTCTTGCCCTAAATCATGATGATGTACAATACAGGAGCTTAATTTAAGGAAAGATGTATCATATGAAGTTTCCTGATGAGGACAGGCTAGTTGAAATGTAGAGTCTGTATCCTACAGATGTGGTCTCTACAATAGTAATAAGTGAGAGGTGTAGCACTTGCGATGTGCAAACTGAGTAAGTACTCGAAGAGAGTAAAGAATTCCAAGAAGTGCGCAGCAAAGCATCAATAACAGGAGAAGTTGTGAGCACTGGAAGCCACATAACCACTCCGCTACAGAAGATACATGGTGGAATTGCAGGTGCAGGACAAATAGCTCATGGGTGCTCATTTTCTTAAATATAACTATCCCATCTTCGACCCAGATCCCTTTATTTAGGGTGGTACTTTCTTGACAGATCACAGGTATTTAGTTTATTGGTTTTAAAACAGCTGGATTGTGTGAACTATTTTGTTGGCCTTAACTATGCCGAATCTGACGAGATTCCATGTGATAACTTCCTTAGAATCAAATCGTCTGCTGTTTTGGGGTCTTTGGTTTTTAAATGAAGGTTATTCCTGTGACCTCTTATCACAGGAGACGACAATCCAAAGATGTCTCATCCCATAGCTTGCAAGGGAGGTTTGAAAGCAGCAATGACCGTGAGTTTTCATGTTGTTATTGCCAGTTTCAAGTGCTGTTCCCACCAACACTGTGTTTGTTCCATAATTAAAGTCTTGACGTACTTTACCAGTTTGTATTATTAGATAACTTTAATGGTCAGGCCTAAAAATGATTTGTGTAGGTGGCGTTTTAGGATAACCCCTTCTCTTTTGTAAATTTACCGTTATCCCGTCAACATGAGTGTGGGTGCATTGAAGTAGGCAAAGTCACTGTGCCATGATTGGCAGAGTTACTGTAAAACACCATATATGTTGAGCTCTTTCTGGAGGGTTGCAGTTTTTAGAAAACATTCAATTGTGGCCAATTTCATGGCTCTGTTTTATCACCGGAGTTTGTTCGCAAAATTTCTTTGCTTTAAAATGCTGTGAGCACTGTGCTGCTTGTTAGTGCATATTGCCTGGTTGTGGCACAACCACAAGATTAGATCCAAATATTGCATTTACATTTTTGTTCACGTTTTCATTACACTCTTCATGAAAATCTTTCTTCAAGTGCAAACTGTTGTTTTTTTACTTGTAAAGGATAGAATGAGTTATGCATCAATTCACTGTACCACTTTAGGGTTGGGCAAAATGTTTGTGCAGTTTCATTCATGTCAATGTTATGTCAATGGCATAAATGATGACATAACAAGAAATATGTCCCAGAGCAGAATGCCTACACAGCTTGGACTACATTTGTTGATTGACTTCCACTGCATGCCAAGTCATGCACAATACTCCCACACAGTTCATTTGTCAATTCATTCAAGGTCATTGTTATGCAGGAATAGAAATCTAATCAAAACACTCTCTTTTTGCAAATAAATCAGTTGAACTTCCTTGTGCCCATGACATTCTGCTTAGTAGAGCTCAAAGCTTCTTTACCATTTCAGTGTCTAGACATTGTTATGCTCTTCGCAAAGGGAAAGGAAAACAGGTTGAATTTTTATTTGTTGACAGGAATGTGGCAAAACCAATACAAACTGGATGTTATTGTTTGTTTTGGGGGAACAAAATAGGTGTTATAGAACTTGGCATTAGTTCTTTGGTGTGTTCGTGTCAGTTCCAACGTTGATAAAACAATAGTTTTACACTCACAATCAACATTACTTGCTTCAATTTATCAAGGTACATGTATGTGAAACCACCCATTTTACTAAATTTTGGTAACTGTCATCACTAAATGGGTTTTAAATATTTCAGAAGTATGCTGTTTATGTACATTTGGTACACACTACCCGTTTTTTCTCTTTTTGTCTTGAGGAGGGATCAGTTTGATGATTAATGGTGCTGAGCCCCATCCCAGGGGAACAAAGGTTTCCCTTTTAATAATACCAATTAATTGTATATTATTCAGCAGTTTTATATAGATTTATTTTTTGAAAATTTGTTACAATTGGTTGTTGTAATATATTTGGAAAAGAGTAATGCAGACTTTTAAAAAAGGAAACCCAACACAGCATTGTATTGTGTGACATTTATATTTTTCAAATTTGATGCACAGTATTCAGCCTTCAAACAATAGACAACCCCATCTCGGTTCCCATGGAGGACATGAACTCCAACCCAAATGGTGAAGGGGTCCCAGAGATGACCCCCGCAGTGCGGCCAGAGTCCAGCGTCAGCCAAATTTCCACACTGGATAGCAGCTCACCGTTTGCTGGCCTGCCCCTCTATCCTGCCGGAGAGAGGGAACTCAAGAAAGATCCCATCCCACTCAAGGACTTTGTGGCTTATGTACGGCAGGCCGTGCAGGGACACCACCTCGGAGATGAGTGGTCTGTAAGTTTACAGCTCATAGGCTGCATGTGGGCCATTCTATAAATTTTTGGGCCACATTTATCCCTTCTTCGTGTCTCCAACAAGTAATTTTGTAGTCCCGGATGTACTACATAACACTTGTTCTATTGATGATGAGAAGTTGTCACATAAGGCAACAAGCTATTCAATAAGCAAAATATTGTGAATTGATTTCCAGTATTTGCTTGCACCCCAATCTATTTAGCTTTGCCTCTATATTACTTAATATATTACACAAGGATTTAAAAATGGAATTTGGGAAAAACAGAGAGAAAGGTATCCACCATTCTGTAGTTTGGAAAACTTAGTTTTCTGTTACCTAAAATCTTTTAAAATCATTTCAAATTGTTATTTATTAGTCCTTCCCTGGGATAGAAGCAATATGTTCCTGTGACGTCTCCCAGCTACCCGACAACAAGATGAAGAACCGATATCGGAATATCCCAGCATGTAAGATATCCTCAAATAGAGTGCTAAGAGGTATTCACTTATGGGCACTGGACTGCCTCATAATTAGTAAAAAAAAAAAAAAAAAGACCTACATAACTGTCCTTCTCTTTAATATCTATTTCCACTAAGTTTTTGTTTCTCTAAAATTTTGGAGGTTTGGAGCTCATTGTAAATACACAGTGTCAACACTTTATTCACTGCAGGATTTTTGTTGCATAGGATTCTCACAAATGAGTCCTAAAGCTTAACTTCTGTAGTATTTTTTACCCATGTCCTTTCTTTAACCTTACCAGCTCTGCCTTTTTTGAACTTTTTATGTCTATCTTGTTACCAGCGATCATTCAATATTGCACGGAGTGCATTTCTAGTAGTTTCACAGCATGATATTCAGATATATTCATTGAATGAATACTTTAACATTTTTGTCAAAGTTTGCTTTAAAAGTTCAAATCAGAAGACTCCAAACTTATTCTTGTGCCTGAACTTTAATGAAATCTACCACATGTATCTTGCATGTAGATGATCATTGCCGTGTCATTCTGGAACATGACCAGGATGATCCCAATTTGGGCTACATCAATGCCTGTTACATCAAGGTGAGATTACAATCGGGAATGAATTGTTTGGTTAAATGTGGGCAAGAACAAAGTAACTTATGAAATAGTGACTTAACATTGCCATGTTATATTTTTAAAAGGCTCTTTCGCGTAGTATGATTTTTGTTTCAGAAAACCCCAAACAAACTCCGTATGAATATGCGTAAAATTGTGTTACAGTCACTGGGGACATGTTTCCTTTTTCAGGGTTACAAGAAGGACAAAGCCTACATAGCAACTCAAGGTTAGTATTACTACCAATTTCATGTATGAACAGGCTTTAAATTTTTCAGTACTCACAGTAGAATAATTTGATAGTACATCTCTGTGATACATTTCCTTGTACTGCTACAGATTCTCAAGTATTTCAACCTCCACTCAAAACGATGCACCTGCTATAGGCAAAGCAGTATATACATACTCTAAGTTGGATTTTTTTTACGTCACTGTTATCCTTTTTTGTATCCGGTGGAAGTTTTCATCTTTTCCCCTTTTGTTTTAATTTACCTTGTTCTCTTCTATACTGCAGGGCCCAATCAGGCCACATCACATGACTTCTGGAAGATGGTCTGGCAGGAGAATGTCCGCATCATTGTCAACGGCACCAAACTTGTGGAAGATGGAAAGGTTAGTCCAACCTTTGATTAACCCTAACAGTCTTCCATTCTTCACCTGTTGGAGGATTGAGGACTATTATTGGGTTAATTAACAGCAAATAAGTACTCATTTTATCATATTCATTGTTGAAAAGACTGTCCCTTCAATTGGTTGCTTAGCCCATGTACACTAGAACTTAGTCACACCCCTGGGTTGCCTTAAAGGATTGCTTTTGGAATGTGTTGTTCAAATGTAGAACAGAAGTAACGGAAGATGGAATAACCATGTTAACAATAAACAAGTTTGGAATCAATTCATCGTTTAAATGCTTGAACATCAGTTGGGTGTTATTTTCATGTTTTGGTGAAATGCTATGATGTGTGTCTGTCTTTAGAACAAATGCTCCAAGTACTGGCCGGACATGGGAAAAGCAGAAATCTTTGGCGGTATTTTGATCAGTCTGCAGACTGAGGAAGCAAGGGGAGAGTACACAGTCAGAACTATGAGCATAGTGAAGATTGTAAGAAAATTTGTTGTTCCATTGTTTGGAGTATCCATTAGTAAGTTGTTTCAGTGAAATATTCTTGTAAATTACCCCCTTCCAAGAAAAATTCCCCTGCAGTTGTACACAGCTGTCATACTCTTTTTTTCTGCATATGTTGTGCCAAGATTCTTGATTGTGAACAAGTTGTTAATATCTTATATCAAATAAAATATCACATATCTTATAAAATACTCCCCCCCCTCCTCCTGTGAAATATACAGACTTGAGAATTCTTAGTGGCATTTACTTCTGTTTTTCCACCCATAAAACTACATGCCCAGGGATGAATTAAAACTGAATATGGCATCCCACAGCATAGATTTTAAAATTGTTCAAAGAAGTCATGTTATATCTTATTGCCCCCAATTTTCCTTTTTATTAAAACTTTCTTCTTTATATTGCTAAAGGGTGACAACACATCTGGTGCAAAGACCATTCGACAGTATCACTACACCACCTGGCCTGACAAGAACGTTCCAAAGGATGTAACTCCTGTCTTGAGGCTTATCAAAGAGTTCTCTGATGCAACACCTGAAGGAGCCGGACCCTATCTCATCCACTGCAGGTATCCATTGTGTTTCGTCTCCCAGCCTGCCGTCTCTTCATTTACTCAACTTCCCAAAGTTAATCCCCAAAGTCGGCCAAAAAATGCATAGTTTACAGTTGCACAGTTTACTCAGTTCAAAACACTTGTACTCACGAAAATTATAAGTACATTTCAAAGTTTAACAAATATCAGGCCAGAAAGTTTATTAAAGCAAAGCCTTTTTAAAATGTGAAAGTTCTGAGTTTTTTCATTTCTTTCCTTGTTGGGTAGCTCCCTCTTTTGTTGCTAGTATGAGGAATTTTCAGGACTACTGTATTTCAAATGAAAATTTTAAGGAATATTTGAAGGGAATTATTATTGAAGTGTATCGATACAGAGTTTTATCTTCAGGTAAACTTGAATTCTCAATTCTGGTTGGTTGATCCATGGCAACAAGCAGTGTGATATAACCATATTGCATAGGTGATATCAAACCCCTCGTAATGCGCTGTTCTAAACAACACATTACACTAAAAGCAAGATGCGCAACTGCAAAATTTACTTTAAATTCAAAGGTAGCGAGTTTGCTAGCATAGGCCCCGATAACATTATTTAGTGCACGTCACGTTTGCTTGAAGATAAATTAGTTATTAGTTAGTTATCACGCTCGAACTAATGTAGTGCATCTGTGTCCCGTATACCACGAGGCCGTGTTATGGGGGACACAGACGCACAACATTGTTCTGTGTTCCACTTGCACTCATGTGATAATAGTATTGACTCATTTCTCTATTTTGCGTCCAGCGCTGGTGTAGGCAGGACTGGTGCCATCATAGCCATTCATGCCTTGCTGCAACAAGCTCACGCAGAGAAGACTCTGGATATCTACAACTTCGTAGCTGACATGAGAGACCACCGTGTCAGCATTGTGCAGACCCCCGTAGGTGTCAGTTGCTTGCTGAATTGTAAAAACGTTCTCAGATCTGAAAGTACTTGCACTTTGAGTTTTGGAATCTCTGCTGAATCTGGAAGTGTAAGGATGGATCGAGCAGCAAATGCTCCATTTTAAGAAACTCTTTTTACATTCACTCTATTCTGAATTTGACCCATGGGCATTGGTAAGGGGGGGACAGAGGGACACCACTTAAGGGCTTCTTGCTCGCATTAGTTGTGCTCTTGAGGTACAATGTCACCAATTTTTTAGGGGAGATTGGCACCCCTTGAGTCCAATAATACATATTTATAACCATACATTTGCTCAATATCCCAAGTTAATTTTTTCTTAGGTTGTATGATCTCTGCAAAACTGGTACATTTCCTCAGGTGGACCAATCCTGTAAAATGTTACTCAATGCACTTTTATTAATCGACAGATTTTGATTGGTCAAAACATCCTCAGAGTCAGGGCTGTGATTCCTCTCTGCTTTTCCTTACAGGTTCAGTACACCTTCATCCATCTGGCCTTGCTGGAGGCTCTGTTTTCAGGCGATACCTGCATTCCGTCATCTTCCCTGAAGAAGAGGGTGACAGAACTCAAGAAGAAGAAGAAGATGGCTGAAGAATTTGAGGTTATTTGGAATTTGTTTGCCAATTGTTTTAAAGAAAGAGAAAGTGGTTTTGTAACCTCTGCTCGTGGAAGCATTGTGTTTCAAATTGCAAATAAAACCTTTAAATGGGTTTTTCTCACTTCCAAAATTTAGAATATAAATCCATAATGAGTTTTTTCTTGTGTCATTAATAGAGTTTGCTGTCTCAAATTGCAAGTGTCATTGTTTAGTAACTTACGTCCTCTCTGAATAAAATTTCCAAAGTGTCTAGTAACACTTTGCAAGTGGAACGCCATGTTTGGTTAGTCATTTTTTGTCAGTGAAATGCTGGTGTTGAACCAATCTATGCACTTTGATTGAAGCACTGACGAACATCATTGATCAGCTTCCTTTCAACTATTGTTTGATATGGGACTGTTTTTGTTTTAGCAAATGAACACCATCACCCCTGTGCCGGTACGAGAGAGATGCCGCATGAGTGTGGTTGCAAGCAATCGGAATAAGAACAGATTCCCCAATACCATCATCCGTAAGTCATAAGCTTTGTAACACTGTGTCTGAGAATGTCAATATCGGGGAAGTAAGGAGCTGCAGAAGTGTAAATTCAAAAGAGACTCTTAAAAGTGTGGCACGTTTCTCGATTTTTGTTCCAGAAAGTGTTCTGTCTTGTGTAAAGTGCTATCAAAGTTTTGATTTTCTGTCAGTTGATTTTTTAGCCCCCCCCCAAAAAAATCTTGTAGAATTGACTTATTTTCTGTTTATAAGTACAGCACTTCACACATCTCCAATTTGTTACAAGTGAAAATTATAGATTCATGGTGGCATTGTGATTATGAAATTATAATCTAATTCAAAAGATGATGGTAGTAAGGAGGGGCATTCCTCTCCATCCTCTTTCTCAGAGTTACCAATTCTGCTCTTCCCACCCACTCACACATAGATGATTTCTTTTACAGAGATGTAATGTTCTGTACCCAGTTTTCCATCGCCATTTGATTTCTCGTAATAATTGGGTAATATTGATGGCATTTTGGTCATTACAGCTGAAACCTGCCGGCCTTTTTTGATGACTCCAAGAGAAGATGGTATGGAGTATAACTACATCAATGCTACATTTGTGGATGTAAGGCTGAATTAGTGGACAGGATACTTGACAAGTTACAACGAAGATGAAGTCTTGTTTCTTGAATACATTACAATACAGATTACATTACATTACAAATGACATGTTGTTAAATGATTCCCAGTTATAAGATCGTGAATGAAGTCCCAGGACATTGTGCAGATTGTTTAGCCATATTGTGATCAAGTCACAAATTCTGTCTCAGGGAAAAGTAAATATGGACAAGGACAATGACAGTTCTTCTATCTTATGACATCGGAATACGGCCGTTTCACAATAGTGTGCCACCAAGAGTTTGCAACGCGTTGGCCAAGCACAATGCGCAAAATTTGTCGACCCAATGCGCGTTTTCAAAGGGTTGACAAATTTCGTGCGTTATGATTGGCCAACACATTGCAAACTCTTGGTGGCGCACAATTGTGAATCACCCGTATTGCATGTGACCTGAGTAGAAACAGGTTTACTTGTGATTTCCCTGTAAGGAGTTCTAAAAGTAGTCCCATACTATTGGTTAGTCTTGGCCGAGCCAGTTTTTCTAGCCTAAATTGAAACCCTAAGGAACCGACCTCACATCTGAATAAATTTTGTAATTCGGTCAAACTCTCACGTCCACAAAAAAGGCAAAAGTGGAATTATGGGAATTAAACAATGAGGCGAAACAAGATAGCAAATCTTATTCAGAGTAGGTTTGCAAACACTTCATGTATCATTTTTCTTCAAGAATGAAAAAGTATGGTCATGGCTGATTGTATTCCCAGGGTTACAAGCAGAAAGACGTTGCCGTGGTAACCCAGGCTCCTCTCCCCAACACTGTCTTGGACCTCTGGCGGCTGCTGTATGACTACCAGGCGACTAGTATCGTCATGCTCAATGCAATGGATGCCAGTGATTCCGTAAGTTGTTGGAGGATTTTTGAGTCTCCGTTGCAAGGACCTTGTACGACTGACACCCGAATCCTGTATTTGAGGTCTGGGGGATAAATGACAGAGAAAGGGTATTTGAAATATTTTTCAACCAGTTTCATAACTCAAGGGGCATGTTGGGGTGCACAAATGTTCTTCAGGCCACAGAAACCCAGCAAGCCGTAGCTTTGCGCATGGTTTGTGTCAAGCCTGTAAGGGCAAGGAGGGATGAGGATTATGGACGTCTGCTTGGGGGCATGTGCCCCTGTCACGGTGACCCCTCCCCTGTGCTTATGCCATGTTGTTAGCTCAACTATTCCTAATCTTTGTACTGACTTTTGCAATATTACAGTGGTCTTTAATTGGCCTGTTGAGAGCTCTGTTTCTTCTCTTTGCCTTACTAAAATCTTCAAACTGAATGGTTAAATCTACAAACAGAATTGGAGATTTTAGAGATGCTTTATGCCATTTTGAGCAGTCTCACGTGATGCAAAGTACAGTGGACTCGTCACCTGGGACTAGATTAAGTATATTCTGCCGCCGAGCATCTTAGAGTCTGATATTCTCAGAAGTTGACTCTCATAGCATGAGAATTGCTTTAATCCTTGTAAATTATAGATTTATCTTCTTCAACCTTTTTGTTGGCATTATTGGCCACCTGTAGGATTGTCCCCAGTACTGGCCAGATAAATGCAGCCAGGATTATGGACCGTTTACTGTGAGTGTTACCAGTGCAGCAGAACTGGATGGGTACAAGGTCAAGCAGCTGATACTCCACCACCGTCGCCAGAAGGTAAGGGAATGTCTGATTGCATCAAAGCTTTCATTGGTGGTATAATATTGTGCTGTTTACATCTTAATTCATGTCTAAAATTTGTATTTCACATTTTCAGTTGATGCTCTGAAAGTTACAAAATATGCAGCAAATTCTTAAGGAGTATTGGTATATGAATGTGTGTATTCTTCTTTATTGTGTCCAAGTTACCTGTGAATATCTGAAAAGCTCTAAAAAAATGTTTGGGGTGTGATTTAGTTTACTTCAAGGTCAGTCCGATGTGAAATCACGTACATATTTCCTAAGTCTCATTTCTTCTCTCCTTTATCTGCCATTGATGTTCTTTCAGAATGTTTTCTTCACGAACTTTCTGCATTTGTAGACTTCTGTTAGCATCTTTCGGGAAATCTTCTCTTTGCGCTTAAATTGCTTCTCCGAATGCAGGGGGTCTGTCTCATCCTTCGGCCACTTCTGTAGTGCTGTCTGCTCTATGTCTGTGGTGACTGGTGAGTGTCTATCTGACATGCTTTGGAAACAGCCTATTAATTCAAGTCTTTCTCAACTTTTAGCTTGCCCACTCACTACCTGTTCCGCCCCTCACCCATGTTGCTCCACCCTCCTCCCTACAGGCTTCCTGTATTCTATCTGCACCCCATACCTACAATTCTTCTTGCTTCTAAGTTATCCCTCCCCCACTTCCTTATAGCCTGCCATTCTACTTCTCTCCTCCAAGCCTGACTCCCTCACAGCCCCCCTCCGCCCACTTTTTTATCTTAAAATACTGCATTCCTAACTTCTATACACTGCACGAGTCTAAAAGAACTCTTCCCTTTGTCTTGAATTGGAGAGATGTTTAAATCTATTTCCTTTTTTTGACAAGAACAAAGCAGGGTAAGACAGACAAACTAGAATATCATTCGGTAAATATTAACAGTTTTAATCGTAGGTACTGCAGTTATTTTTCACTTACGGAGTACATGTACTGTCAAGGTAGTTTGCAGCAGTGACAGACTGCTGAAAGATTCAGGACTGCTAGAGTCGATTTCTTCGAGGATAAAAAAATTGAACATTGCTTCTTGAAGGTTTTAAAATGGACTACATCTTGCATGAAGTCTCCCCATAACAAAGTCTAGGTCATTATTTGGCCGGTCGTTTGTTGATGACAGAGGTCACGGTATTTGAAGCACTACCAAGTCACTGATTGGCCAGTGAATCAGGAGACGCCCAAGTCACCAAGCACGCTGCTCCGTCTCATCTTGACTGTAGAGAAGGAAAAGAAGGGAAAGCACTCGTCGATCCTTGTCCACTGCATGTGAGTGTTGCATATTCAATCCAAAAAGAATGAGTTCTGAGCATGTGTTTATTCCTTTACCGGTGAAGTGACATAACAAAATCACTGCCATATTTGTCACAAGCTTACAGCGAGCTGCTTGCGGTATTTGAATATGCACCATGGGTACCTGTGCATATACATCTGAAGTCTTTTTTCTGGCTCTTTATCACAGAGATGGCCAAAACCGCAGCGGTGTTTTCTGCGTCCTGAAGAATTCCCTGGATAGGCTGCGTCAAGACGACACGGTGGACATCATGCAGACCACCAAGGTCCTGCGATTGAATCGCCCCAACATGCTCAACAGCCTGGTAGGTTCAACTTGACAGATTCTCCACTGGACTGGACTGCCTTACTTTCTCTGTCTAGATTCCTAGTACACCACCCCTTATTTCAGTATTCTTGGTGAACCCTGGGAAGGAATGTGATTGTAGCTGTGGTAAAAATGCAAAATCAACGAGAAGAAAGNCAGTGTCAACGATGTGCCAGTGCTCAGATTCACAAGACACTGCCCCTTTGTATATTAAGGTCACTTGTATTTAAGTATTTGTATGGGCAACTGGTGTACACTTATGTGAGAATAATTGGAGGGGCTCTTGGGAGTATCCCACTGAAGTCTTTTATATTGTGCATGCATAACATCGGTCATATATCACATTGATTTGACAATATTGAATTACATGCATTACTACATCAATGTCTCATGAAAATTTCTTATGTCCCCAAACGTTGCACTTATATCAAAATTCTCTTTTCATGTGTTCTTTTGTTTCCATGGGGTTGTGCATTCAACCCACAGAACCTGTACCGTTTCTGCTATGATGCCATGTTGGCCTATGTCAGCAATCCTGATGAGTTCAAAGCAGACAGACTGCCAGAACCAGTCTATGAAAACATGCCCACCAAGCAAAAGGAGGAGAAGGCAAAGCCACCAGAGAATATTTACCAAAATGTAGCGAAGTCTCCGGAATCCAGCGAGGCTTGAAGGTGAAACACGGAGACTCAGCCTACGGGGGATACAGGAGGATGAAACCCATTTATATCAAGTTCCTTGAAACTGCATTTATAACAGTAATTAGTTTGTCTAATGTGTATTCCGTTTGTCTCGCTTGGTAACATTTTAAATGCAAAGTCTATTTAATTGGGCTTCCAAATTTAAAGCTACCATAGTGTGGCTGTGGTGTGAGCATGTGGCTCTGACTGAATTGAAGCTAGCAAAGATCCACTTCCAGACTTAGACTCAAGAATCAGACGTGGCTAGATATAGGGTCTGACTGGAAGCACTCTTTTGTAAGTGCTTCATTATAGGATTAGTTTCTGTTTTAGCCAATTATAGGTTTACAGTATAGTTCTCTTTGTATTTGTTATATTACCACTTAGTTTTTAAAAGAAAGAAAAAAATCAAGATCCAAAGAAATATATTGCAGATGATATTTTTTGTCTGGCTCATCAGGCGTCATAAGTCTTGAGTTGAAAACTGAAAGAAAAGTTCTTGATTTGTACATTTTATACACTTTTTACTCAAAGCACGTGTTCCATCTTTTTGCTATAGCCTCAAGTCATGTTTAATTAGGTCTAATAAATTGGGAGTTGCCACACTTCCTCAAGTCCGATCTCAAGACACTTGTCAAGTCCTGTGTAAATCAGCTGCATTCAAGTCATAGGTCAGGCTACTTAAGTTTTAGTCATTAGGTTAATGTCACAGAAATAGCTGTTATTAGTTAAAAGTTTCTCCCATTCAATGCCAGGCATGTATAAGCTTAAACATGTCAATGGATCACATTCATTGCCGTTTCAATAAAAAGAGTGAAAATAGTATCAGCTATCAGCTCATTTTACTGCAATAGAGTCTTAATTCACCTTTTCTCCAGAAATGTATGTACATACACTTGCAATGCTCTACTGGGTGTTAATGACAGCATTGATGGCAGTTTTTACCGTGAGGCTTTAAGGATACTTTTCAGAATTGTGCTGCAGTACAGTTGAACCTTAACAAGAGCTCTGTTAATACAAGCTTTTGCTTATAACAAGGTCCCAATCCTTTGTTTTCCATTTTTTTAATTACTGATAATACAAAAGTTCCTGTTATAACAAGGTGATATGCCAAGTCTGAAGGACCTCTTATTAACAAGGTCTGACTGTATTGAGTTTACTACTTTACTTTAAGCAGAGGATATTTCTATGCGTAAGTCACTTTATGCCAAGCTTCTTATGCCTGCAGAAAAATAAGCAATTTTTATTAAACCACCAACAAATAACAATACATGTATATTCAGTTTTTACAAGCTTTGCTTTAAACTTGCATGTACATACTTTATGCTTATGTTTTGGTTGAGAATATACGGATGCAAAGTCATTCCTTTGATGTTGGCAAGGGTCTTTATGATCCTGGTTTTGGTGCTTGTTTTGTAATGTAAGATGTGACACTTGCGACAGTAGATAATGGTTGTAGACTTATTTGTGTACTCAGTGCAAAATATAAAATACTTTTGAAAGATTTTCAAGTACTGTCGTTAGAGAATTATGTGTATTCAAGAATCACCGAGAAGTACTATATTTTTGTATTGTTTTTGCCCTGTATGTAAAATATTTAGCTTTTTAAAGTACCAATACTTGTTTTAAAGAATTTGTGTACGCTTTTTGAATGGATCACTGTATTTAGGGCTAACCAGCAATTGCTGTACATTGAAAATTGGCAAGTTCATTTTTGATATGATAGCTTTTGGGAATAGCAGAAATTTTTGAAACAGATTGTGGAGATGTGCATTTAAGCTGCTATATGCTTAGAATGCTGCACGACAAATTATATATCATGTGTCATCTTGCAAATTAAATAAAGCACAGAAAATTTTGTCGGTTGTCATACCAGCATTTGGTTTAATCTCACACAACTATTTAGAGGATGTGCCTTTCCTGAGCTTTCCTGGACTTTAAGTAGAGCACCCCACCTTTGTGTTGGTCTTTGTTTGATCGGAATCTTTGGAATTCTTTACAGACATCTACATTGATCTGGGGGCATGTGTTAGGTAACATAGCCTAAAAGTGTGTACAGGGATTGGACATGTAATGGGGGTACCCCTCCGTCCACGTCTTGCCGGACAGCGCTGCATGAAATGCCGGCGCATCCTAGTCTGGCTGCCCCTGTAAAACTTAAGATGGTCCAGCTTATATCTGTGAACTTCAGTCGAAACCCAGGGCTGTTCAAGTGTAAACCAGTTAACATAATTGGCAGATTTTTCGGCTTATTTAGTTGCATGGTAGATTTTCCGCAAAGAATATGGGGTAAATGGGATGCTCTTAACTATGGGTACAAATGCATCAATATTGCATGCATGGTACGCGGCGATCAACGTGGCATGAAGTCTACGTACGTACGAAGCGAAAGTTTCGTTCGGTCTGGTTCCTGTTTTACGTAACTTTTCGCATGATGTAATCAGGTATCCTGCACCAGTCTCGACGCTTTCACGCATCAGTAACCACGCGGCGAGATGCCACTAACATTAGTCCAACACTAGTGCTGTGACGTATGCACCTAAGTCAAAGTTGTAACTTGTAGTTGTGTGCGTCGGGTCATGTAATAAATTCTAGGGAACAGGTAAACTTTTCGCTCGTTATTAAATCTCTGGTAGATTGGTTTAACACTTGAAGTAGAAGAGCAAGTGGATATCAGCGCTGGTTGTCATGCTTGTCCACAGTCGGAGACAACTGGATCAAGCTGGAGACATTTGATGACCTGTGCAGTGGCTTCCGGGTTAGCGGAGCACATCCATCGCCATGGAAAATTTTGGTCACCGTCTTTTGGTCATCCTGTCGGTCATTCTCAGTGTGAGAGGCAAGTAAAATATGACTTCTTTCTAAAGATTTGTAATTTCGGCGTGACCATCGGAAATTCGAATAATAAAGTCCTTTTTCCTACCCCCTTTTTTCTGGCGGTAGAATGGCTCGTACCAAGATGTAAGTGTGTACGGATCACCTGTTTTATCTTGCCACACACCGGCTTTGTTGCTTTGTCATAAATATTTCAATTTTCCAGACGTTCATTTTTCTAGTTTAAATTCTTTAACTCGTTTTATGTTTAGCTAGTCAAAGGGGAATAAAATACAAAAAAGATATAAATAAATACTCTAGCTACATATTGCTAGTGACCAGTCATTCCATGTAAGTATGACGCTGTTTCATGTTCTCAGTGTTGTGGTATGTATTGTATTAACCACAGAAAAGTGGTTTTGGTAGAGTACAATGTGCCTTGCCTAAAAAAAAGAAAATTAGTGATAACATGCTTTTACTGAGTTTGACATTTGCTCTAATTTCACAACAAATTCATGAAATAAATCATACAGGGATCATATACTAGGGAGACTGACTACTTTGAAAACTCGAAGGGACTAACTCTGTGATACTGGACATTGAGTATCACGGAGTTAGTCCCTTCGAGTACTCGAAGTAGAAACTAACTACATGCTTATGAATGGTTATAAAGAGCTATCCAGCCCTATGTTGGCTCTTCCCAATTGTCAATATCTCTGTTCAGGGGCGCCAGCCAGAAGCCAAAGAAGGGGTGAACAGGGATCATTCAAAGAGGATATAGCTTTTTTGGAAAGGTAATTGTATTGTGTTGATTGGAGTGTGATCCCTGGCCAAATGGTGTTCCAGGTTTAATGGCTTCTGGCTAGTGTCCCCCCCCCGAGATACAAGTGTATTGACAATTTGGAAGAGCAACCAACACAGGGCTGGATAGCTCAGTTAATAGAGCACTGGTACGGTATTCATTACAAATTTATAAACCTTTTCGACCTTCACAATGATGGATTTGGATGACAAACAAGCAATCCATTTTATGCACAGCCCAATGAGAAAAATGTACCCACTACTAGCAAAATGTTAATCCGCTTCAATTTTATTACACATTCCAATTCAAGCCATCCTCTTCTCACAGTGTTCCCACCCCATGCCCCTCTTTCAATGTTGGATCTCAGTATGCAGTCTGTGTTTAGTTTAAGATGACTTGGGGGGCTGAGGGTATGGTTATTGACCGGTGTTGTAGGTCTCGAGACCTGGTCTTGGTCTCAAGACCGTCTCAAGACCTTTTTTGCGGTCTCGGTCTTGCCCTGTCAAGGTCTCGGTCTTGGGAGGGCCGGTCTCGAAAGCGCCGGTCTCTGTCTTGGTCTCGGATGCCATAGTCTCGCGTCTCCCCCTCGAGATCAGTCGAGACCATAACAAAATGCGCATCTAGCTACCACGCATGCACGCGGTTGCAAAAGGCTAAATTACCTCCGCTCGAGTCGAATCTTTAACCACTGATAAATACAACACATGTACAGTTCAACTTTTTTGCAATAAACAATGAAATTGATATTGGAATGAAGACTAACTAGTCAATGCAGCATGATAAAACCTTGTCCCGAGTTATTACTTTATTTCCAATCCAGAGTAGCCATGCTGCTTGACACCATGGAGATGAGGTTTTGAGTAGCGGAACTCGCACACTAGACTGGTTCCCATTTCCCACATAGTCTCCTGCTGAGCGTAGGGCTGGGACGGGAACCAGTCTGTGTGTGTGCGCACGCTATGAATTGTGTGCACGTGTGAAAGTGCTTTCATTCCGTCTTGTATATGGTACGTGTTGTTTTAGTAGTTTCGTTGCGGTACATCTTTTTAGGATATTTGTTATTCAGTATTTTGCTTACAAGAAACAAACTAAGGATATTTGTTTTAATGTTCACATTATATCATTTGGGACACTCGGGTTGAAAATGACCAGACCAGGGTAAATGTAGAAGCAGTATCACTGATAAAAGGACTGAGATATTCTTTAACAAATATTTGACCTATTTGTATGTTTATGCTAATGTTTTCATTTTATTTCTTTTATACTTAATTGTATTGCCATATGTTTGTCCCTGTTTATCTTTTGGTAAAAATTAAACATTGGTTTATGGTTGGTCTCTGCCTCGTATGCCTTGGTCTCGGTCTCAGATATCAAGGTCTCGGATACAACACTGCTATTGACACATGTCCCAATAATTTTGGATTGGATTGCTGATCAAGAAATATAATACATGTATACAATTTCCCAATGGCTCTTCTGCTGGTAGCCACTTTCAAGGGTTTTGTTTCCTCTCACATTAGTTAGCCTGTAACATGTCAGGTTTCCACAGAAAATAAACATGGACAAATACCATTGTTAAATTTCTGGTACTTATCCTACTACATGTAAACAAATGTATATGTACTGTACTTCTCTCAACGTAATACTCGGAAATTGATGCTTTTGTTCAATTTTCATCCAAAAGATAAAAAAAAACAGTACTTCTTAGGAATGCCCTCTACAACAAATTTTAAAGGGGCATGGGTCAAAATGGTTCTAGAAGGGGAAACTACTTTTCAAGTTTACACATGCATACACATTATGCCTCCACAATGTTCACTTGCACATAGTATGCAAGGTAACAAGGGTTCTGCACAATGAAATTACAGAAAGTTAAGCCACTACCCACATTTACATTTTTGACCCCCCCCCATGTTTGATAGGTCAAGCCCCCTACTGAATATATACAACTGATATTCACTTTAATAGGTGGGCTTGATATACATGTAAGGTGCTGATTTAGCCCTTGTGTTTGGCATGAAGGATAATCAATTGACTAATTTATTTCAGAATATTTGGTAGTCTCATTAGTTGTCATTTAACTGTTTTCTCTTAATACTGGATTTCTGATACATTGTTACTGAAAAATGTGATATCAACTAGCTAAACTTCATATCTGAAGTGAACAAATGAGTAGTACTGACCAAGCCTTGCTTGGTAAAATTTACTCTTTAGTAATTTTGGAGTTTTGAACAGAATCCAAACAATAAATTTACAATATATTTGGGTAGGAAAAAGATGATTCAAAGCTTTAGTAATAATTATATTGTGATTTTTCTAATAATGAAAGCAAATTGGCTATATACATGTGTGCAATGTCAGAATGTGAAGACAACTACTGGAGATATTGTATGTCTCATAAGATGTGTTGTGTTTTTTATTCCAAAGGAGATACAGTTCACCTAACAATGGTCTCACCAACACCTTATGGGGCTGGGTCTTCAGCTAGCATCAGCTGCTTCCGTAGCAGTCCTGATGAAGATGTGACATTAAGCTTTGGTAGACCATTCCAAATAGGTCTCCACAGATCTTCAGTGCAAACTTCAACCACCCTCCCTGATGGCAGTACACAATCAGTGAATGGACAAGTAGTCACACAGGATCTGACTTCCAGTAATAATGCCACTGGGTTGTTTTATTGTGAAGGTTCAAATAGAAACTTGACTACCAGGGTGTACAGCATCATCCACAGTATTCACAGTAAGTATTGTGATGCCAGACCTCTTGGAGGTCGAGTGAGATTCGGGTGAGGGCGCCCTCCTCCTCAGAGCATGGCGCGGACCAGCAAGTCCCTGAGCGGCTAGAGACAAGTCCGTTGGGATGGAAATATACCATCCCAGTTGAAGAGCTGATCCTTCTGATTTGGCTCGATGGCTTGCTGTTATCTGATTGGCTTAGTGGTTTAGGCAGAACTCAAAGTGACATGAATAAACAGTCTAGGACACCCATTCACTGTACCCTAGAGCATCAGGGATTGGTTTATTCCAACTAACATCTGACCATGGGCGAAACCTGCTCGCCTGGCTTATTTGGAAAACATAACGACAGAGGGCGCTCCTTTAAATGAGACAAGTTTAAGATCGACTTTACTGGCCTGGTAAGAAAAACCACTTCAAATGAGGGAACAGGTCAACAGCAACTAACAGAGGGCGCTTCCTCAATCAAAGCTTGTGGGTGAGGACAGAAATATATATAGCCTATTTCCGTCCCACAATGCGCATTCTCTATTTAAGGGAGCATATAATATATCCAGGGCCAAAACCAATCTAGGGATGTCGCCCCACTCAACTAATACTAAGTGGGTTCTGGCAACTCACCTTTACTACTTCCGCACCGCACACACCAGGTAATAGTCCTCCAAACCCCCAAGCCCACTTGTGCCCAGGCGCGTAAGAGAGCAACACACAAAGACACCACATTTATTGTAAAAAGACAGCAATGCACAAGCACCACAACCAAACATACAGTACAGGGGTCCGCTTAGGCTGCAAATGAGACATTTGCCAGGGACGCTGTCCCTCACAACTAATACTGCAAGAGTTACGGCAGATTGCCCCTATTTCGACCTACCGCACGCCTGAAGGCCCCTCAGAGGGTCCTAACGTCTCCACGCAACCCACCATGACCCCTACCGCCCCCAAAATACAGGGAGTAGTGCTTACCGTGAACCAGTAGTCCAGACCAGTGCCCAGAACCTAGCGGGCAAGGTTTGTCTCCCCCTTCACGCTGGGGCCAAGTGGCTTTTATAGCCTTGCTGCAGCCTTGCGCTTGCGCAGTACCTGCCGCGTACGTGGAGCAGTGACCAGCCCCGTCCATCCAATAAGCACACAACTGACAAGGCACAGTCACTATGCCTGGTATTGTGGATGCAGCCTCAATCACTGTCCTAGTGCCCTTTGTTGCATTACAGTATGTACATCCAGGAGTGCCCGTACATGTATGTTAAAGCATTTACATTGTATTCCTGCTGTTGCCAGTTAATGTTGGGTTTTCTTCCCCCAGAAAACCTGACGTACCTACAAATTCTTCAAATCTGCAATTTATTTACGGCACCCATAAAATATGTACATGTAGGGAGGCACATAAATGTTTTGAGTTTGGGCATCAGTAACTTTTCCGTCTTGGTTATACTCAACTATACAGAATTGTACACAAGACAAGAAGATTTACATGTACATATAGGCGAAAGCGAAGCACGTTGAGCGCTGCCCAATATTGGTCCGCCATTTATTAATTCCATCAGTATCTGGTAAAAATGCCATTACATAGTTAATACTGGTATACATCTTCATTTATAAGTTTTGACTGACTCAGTACAAATATTCATACAGCACTCACAATTGCAATAATATTCATTCGTGTAAAATACGATCAAACCCAAATATAATTATTCGGCTTGCTGTGAGATATACATGTACCAATTTATACAGATCAGATAACTGAAGAATGAGAACTAGTAATGTACGTGGTGCCCAGCTTCTAGCATTTCATGATTTACATGTACGTGGTAACATTTTAGAAATTGCATTCGTATACACACTCATGGCAACAAACAATGACCGTCTTATAAAGACCTAATGATAAGAATCTGTCTTGTGAAACATATTTAACACCTAGCTAAATCGACTGAAACTTGAACAAATAAAGCCGGCAAGAGTCGCACTCGCAATATACTGGTACATGTGGTTTTTGACTTCTTTGCGTCTCTTGGCTAGATGTACATGAAATTTCAAACATTATGTCTGTTTATAAATATGTGATACGTTTCTCTGTCATCAAAAATGCTAAAAGCTTCCTACTTCACTGATGCACGCAAACAAAAATACTTTTCTTGCATGCTCCTTGAATATGTACACATAAGCATAAATTACGAACAATTGCAGTTGGGAAAACATGTTCTTTTACACGTAGTTTTCACAGTGATTTGGAGCCCAGAATAACACCAGCAGAAGCTTGCGTCCGTGTTTAATTTCATCAACCAGCCTCAATTGTGCGCTATACTGACTGTTCAGGGGATGGCTGGTATTTCCTGTGATAAATTTTTACTTTTCAATACTCTATCAACACATATCTCAATGAAAGAGATTTCTTTCTTTCTCAAGAAGTCTCCCAGCTTGGTTAAACACCCTCTGCTACCTTTCCTTATCTTCCTTTTTACAGCCGCTGTACCACACCATACAAGCAAAAAGCGCCACACTTTCAACTACAGCAGTATAAAAGAGTTGGTATTATCCATGTGAAATGACATAAGCTACCATGTCCCCCCCACTTCAATGTATTATCAGTCACAGTCCCCAGATATTTATATGAAGTAACAATCTCAACATCTGAATCATGAATTTTGACAGGTAACATTGTACTGTTCTTCCTAAAGTCTACTCCAAACTCTTTAGTTTTATTACACTTACAGGTTAGGTTGAAGAATTTATCTTGGCACCAAGTGAAAAATTCCTCCACAGATACTCTTTAATCATTTTCTGCACCATCTTTAACAAGGCCTACAATTGCTGTATCATGATCCGCATATTTAAGAATTTGTGTTGAACTGTGAGTCGATTTACAGTCGTTGGTATACAAAATAAATTGTACCTGTGAAAGGATGCATCCTTGGGGTTACCAAATATTTGTCGCCCCCACATCCTAGGTAACCCCTGACAGCACCACACGTTGGGGCCTGTTTTGAAAAAAGTCACTTATCCAAAATGCTATTGTCGGGTTAACGTCTAACTGTTGTAGCTTTTCCAGCAGCTGAAATGGTACCATGGTGTTAAATGCCAAGGAAAGTCAATGAACATCACGATAGCATAACACCCAGGAGCCCCTGTGTGCTGCTGAATGAGATTGACAAGTGTTCAAACTGCATCCTCAACACCTTTCTTTTGTTGATAGGCAAATTGGAAATTATCATTGCATGGAACAATATGTGGTGATAGCAGGTGCCTCAACACTATCCGTTCGAGGCATTTCATCACCAAGAATGTCAAGACAATTGGTCCAAGGTCATTGTTTCCAATGGTCTCGGCTTTGATGTGGTCTCACTCTTCACCAATGTCCGAACTGAAGATGCCTGCCACCTAACCAAGCAACGATGTGGTCGCACCCTTTACCAATGTTCCAACTGAAGATGCATGCCACCTAACCAAGCAACAACTCGACAACGATTCCAGCCTCTCTGAGTGTAAATCCCTGTCTCCCACCCAAGTCGCCAAACTCATCCACCCGTATCTTCCAACTACTTCAATTCCAAGGCAAGTTTTCCGAGCAAACTTCTGGGACCTCCGTGCGATCTCACATATCCCCAGTTCTAGCTGACATCTTCATTGAAGAATTTGAGACATCCTCTCGTCTCACTGCAGACTACCGGTACAAGTGCAGCTTCTGGTTAAGATACACGTTTTAATTAAGGAGTGACACCACAAGGGCTGTCTTTGCCCCATCTGCCTGGTTACTTGATGGCCAATCAGGTATGATAGTGTACATGTATTTGGTCATCTGAAAATTGACCAATGGTGGCATGAGCTGACCATGTGGCCAAACCATGCTCTGGGTGCTTGCTTGCCCAACATTTTGGCAGAGCCTGGTAAATTTTGATTCTTCCACCATGCTGATGGCTGCACAACTTGTCTCCAGCAAAACTTTTATGTGTGGTTCTGCTGAAAATCCTGCATTGTTTCCTTGCTCAAGTGTTGGCTCTCTGTTTAGGTAAGTTTGTCATTTTTAAATTGTTGGTTTACGTGTAGATTGTGTTTACATGTATAGCTACATGTAGTTCATTATGACTCGTCTGACGAAGAGAATTACCTTAAGTGACATCCTGCATTATTTCTTGATTCATCAGATTTTGTGGACTAGGTGTAGATTTACCAGAGAAAAGTGACTTGGAGGAATCTCTGAAATGACTTGTAATTCCATTTGTATACATCATATCATTTAAAAATGCATCACTCACAATGTCTTTGTCAGGATGTACTTGATAATGTAGAGCCATGTACTTTATTATTTGATTTGGTTTGTTGCTTGTCTGAGCATTGCATATATTTGCTAAGAGGTTAATTTTAGTTAATTCTTCAAAACCCTTGTCTTTCAACCCAACTGCTCATTAGTTTAGATACATGTATGTTGGATTTGTATGGATATTTGACCATCTGTACATGTACTTTAAGATGCATTTTCACTCTTGTACATTTCAGTCAAACTTTTATCGAGATGTTCAACCAACTTACACGTACATGTATACCCAGACTGTATATATTTTCAGCCTTAAGAGAGGGCTTAAGACCATCTAAAGGGTTTGAGCATTTTGCTGGCAAGGGTATCTTAGAGATAGCTTCTTGTGTTTGTTATACTGTATGAAAACTCTCGGTTTAGGGCTCAGTATTAGAGAAGTTAAGCCATCCGCCCAGTTTACAGAAAGTTTGGCCATTCCGTTCAAGCAGTCTTGCTAGACCAGTCCGGAGCAGTCAGAGAAAGCCGGGTCACTACCAGGAGACTGCAGCCCCTTCTGCACAGAGCACTGACGGTAGCCTCCCCTTCGTGTCAACTCAGGCCCACCAGTGTACCCCAAGACAGGGGAACAATGGGTGCATTCACAAGACCGCAGGACGAAAAGCGCACCCCAAGACTGCCGCAAGTACCCCATAGACACTGCAGCCTGCTCTGATAGAGCTTGAAGGGGATAACCCCTCTCGTCCGGAATTGGGCCCTTTTTGTTCTATTGGTGCCATAAATCTATTTATATAGGATGCAAGCCATCGCCTTTGATTAAATTTGTTTGAGTTGAGTGCTGTGAATATAACTCTTCACTAATGGTTGTAATAAAACAGAATAGTGTACTATGCACACAGATTTTGACCGGAGTTGTCACTTATTCCAATAGGAGTTGATTTAAAGATTGGTTCCTGCTGGTTGGAAGCAAACCCTGGGCTATACCAGCATCCTCTACCACGCATCACTGACCTCACAGATCCTTCTTGTGCTTCAGTGCCCCAGGAATCCAAGCTAATACTCACCAGTGCCCACTGGTGGAAACGTCGAGTACATACTCACTGATTCTTATTTGAACCATACCTCTTCCAAAAGAGGTCTATCCACATGGTGTTACCGCAAGCCCTCTCTTTAGTCTGTCTCGACCATGCAAAGCTTTGAGTCTTATGGATATCATTTTACTTGTTCTACTCATTAAATTTGGGGCAGGATTTTTTACTTTGGTTGTTTGGCTGTAGGGAGATGTGCACCTCCTGATGGACAGCTGTAGTTGAAAAGTGCAGTAGAAAAAAATGGCTTTGGTGCAATAAAATCCATGTGTAACATACCTTTTATTTGATTACAGGGAGGTTTCAGCCAGGTGATGGACAAGTGACAAGGACAGTTAACAAAGGAGAAAACGTGACTCTCTCTGTCATCCCTGTTAATTCTGGTGGAACTCCTCTTTGGCGCCGTACCAACGATGGAGTTGTTGATTTTATGTCTGCTTCAGGACTGGATACTTTGACAGTTTCCTCTGCAGATGTTGTTCATGGAGATTTGTATACTGTCATCGCAAGTGCTGTTGGTCTTGAAAACAATCATTTCAGTATGATTAGACTCATAGTCAGAGGTATATAATCATATTCACTATCGCATGTAAGCATTTTGAATGAAATACATTAGATGCACAGTGTTTTGCGTTTTCTGGAAAGATTCAGATTTTTCTTGGATGCACACATTCTCCATTTGGGCCTGAACCCTGCAGTAACTGCATAAACATGTACATACACACGTATGTAGGATGAGAAAAACTGGTAATTGAAATGCCTTGTGTTTGCAATCATGATTTCAAGTGTAATCAAGTTACATACAATGTATGTCTTCTGACACAGAATTGTAAACATTAAAAGGCTACATGTACTTCAATGTTTTCAAGGCTGTGCTGCAGGCAAGTGGGGTCCTGCCTGTGTTGAGCTGTGTGACATGTGCTACAATGGAGGAGTGTGTGATGATAAGACAGGAGACTGCATCTGTCCACCAGGATTCAGTGGACCAAACTGCCTCACTGGTAAGCTCATTGCCTGGTCACAGGTTGGTCTGTCTGTCTGTTTGTCTTGGTTTGTGACGTGTGCTACAATGGAGGAGTGTGTGATGATGAGACAGGAGATTGCATCTGTTTCACCAGGATCCAGTGGACCAAACTGCCTCACTGGTAAGCTCATTGCCTGGTCACAGGTTGGTCTGTCTGTCTGTTTGTCTTGGTGTGACATGTGCTACAATGGAGGAGTGTATGATGATGAGACAGGAGACTGCATCTGTCCACCAGGATTCAGTGGACAAAACTGCCTCACTGGTAAAAT